ACAGCTCATTCATTCTGCATCAAGTTGGACCGATCAACTCTTCCGCCAGATGTTCTAATTCCCCGCTTTGCTCAGTGACGGGGGGTGGGGAGGGGTGGGGGGGGATGCAATCCAGAAAGATGCCGCTGGGTTTTTTTTTCTGAGCAACTCACCCGGCTTCCTCCCTGTTTTAAAAATCGTTTAAAAAAAAAATATAAAAAAAATAAAAAATAACGATCGAAATCTCACACGCTTCTCTGTCTAGGAAAAGATCTCGGCCACTCCTCCCGCTTCGCCCTGCCCTCTACACATCTCTTATTATTCAATTATTAAAAGGTTCCTTTCTCCCGTTTGATCGCCGGCTCAAATTAACTATTAAGTGCCCGGGATCAAAGTAAAAAAAAAAAAACCTCTGCAAAAGAAATACATGTGGTTTAATTGGCATGCATTCGTTGTGAATCGTTTCTTTTGTCCAGGAAAGATTTAAGTTATTGTTTGAGGTTACTATTAAATAAAAGATCTTTTAGGTATGTATTTATTATTTCATTGTTACATTTATTTGCTGCTCATCTCACTGTGGTGGTACTCCGGCCGGAAATAAATTGAACAAATCTTCTCTATATATAAAAATGGCTGTGTGCGCGCATGTGTGTATGTGTGTATGTTCCAGCATAACTCTGGAACGCCTCGAGCAATTTCAACCAAACTTGGTACACAGATGACTTACTCTCTGGAAAAAAATACTGTGGGGGTAAGACACCCCTAACACCCCTAGGGGTGTATGTGTGTGTGTATGTGTGTGTGTGTGTGTGTTCGTTCCAGCATAACCCTGGAACGCCTGGGCTGCTGAAATGAAAAGGAATGAATTATATCTACAGTGTCAAATCACAGTACTTTTGACAGTGATAGTGTGCATATTGGATTCAAGTTCTGTTAAGATACAGCCTGTTGTGCCTTAACATGGCTTCTACTGTACAGCACAGTGGAGTTGCCATGGTAACGGCTTCACAGCACTCCACAAAAGGGCTCCCTCTGGTAAGGGGGATTGGGATAAATAAATACCCGGGCAACGCTGGGTTATCACCTAGTAATAAAATACTGGCTGGGGAATTCTGGGAGTTGTAGTCTGCCTATCTTAAAGTTGTCAAGCTTGAGAAATAGTCCTTTATTATCCAAGATCAGAAGGTAACACCTTTATTTTGGATTAATCCATTTTATTATAAGGCTCAAGCTTTGGGGATCCAGAGCTCTCAGCTACTAAATTGACACAGGATTTTATGGGAAGAAAGAGGGAAATATAGAGCAGTTATGTAGATGCAGATTACATGCAAAACAGATTTACAAGGGTTCATTGTTAAACTGCTTGCAAGGTAGTCCTCCACTTACGATCACAGTGGTGCCCAAAATTTACATTGCTAAAGCGAGACATTCGTTAAGTGAGTTTTGCCCCATTTTACGGCTTTCCTTCCTTTCCACATTTGTTAAGTGAATCTCTACAGTTGTTAAATTAGTCACATGGCTGTTAAGTGGGTTTCCCCACTGACTTTGCTGGTCAGGTGGTCGCAAAAGGGGGAATCCGGGATGCTGTGACCGTCATAAATATGAGTCGGTTGCCGAGTGTCCAAATGTCAATCACATGATCCTGGGGACGCTGCAATGGTTGTAAGTCGTAAGAAAAATGGTCATAAGCAGTGGTGAGATCCAATTTTTTTTTACTACCGGTTCTGTGGGCGTGGCTTGGTGGGTGTGGCAGGGGAAGGATACTGCAAAATCTCCATTCCCACCCTGCTCCAGGGGGGGGAGGATATTGCAAAATCTCCCTTCCCATCCTGCTCCAGGGGAAGGATACTGCAAAAATCTCCCTTCCCACCCCACTCCAGGGGAAGGATACTGCAAAATCTCCCTTCCCACCCCGCTCCAGGGAAAGGATACTGCAAAATCTCCATTCCCATCCCACTTCAGGGGAAGGATATTGCATAATCTCCATTCCCATCCTGCTCCAGGGGAAGGATACCGCAAAATATCCATTCCCACCCCACTCCAGGGGAAGGCTACTGCAAAATCTCCATTCCCATCCCACTTTAGGGGAAGGATATTGCAAAATCTCCATTCCCATCCTGCTCCACGGAAGGATACTGCAACAATCTCCCTTCCCACCCCAGTATCCAGGGGAAGGATACTGCAAAATCTCCCTTCCCACCCCACTCCAGGGGAAGGATATTGCAAAATCTGCATTCCCACCCCACTCTGGGGCCAGCCAAAGGTGGTATTTGCCGGTTCTCCAAACTGCTCAAAATTTCCGCTACCGGTTCTCCAGAACCTGTCAGAACCTGCTGGATTTCACCCCTGGTTTCGAGAATGAAAAATGCTTCAAGGTCCCACAATGTTGTATGTTTGGGTTTAGGAGTGTGTGTGTGTGTGTGTGTGTGTGTCTGTGTGTGTGTCAAAAGGATTATAACTTGAGGAAAAAACGGATCCTTCAGCTTGGCTGTGTAATGTAGCTAAATGGGAACATTTGCAAGGAATACCATTTGCCTACGAGCCCAAGAATAAAAAATGGAGGCCTTTGAACTCTGGTGCTGGAGAAGACTCCTGCGAGTCCCTTGGACTGCAAGGCCATCCAACCGGTCACTCCTTAGAGGAGATCAACCATGACTGTTCTTTAGAAGGCCAGATCCTGAAGATGAAACTCAAATACTTTGGCCACCTCATGAGAAGGAAGGACTCCCTGGAGAAGAGCCTAATGCTGGGAAAGATGGAGGGCAAAAGAAGAAGGGGATGGCAGAGAACGAGGTGGCTGAATGGAGTCACTGAAGAAGTCGGCGGGAGCTTCAATGGACTCCAGAAGATGGTAGAGGACAGGAAGGCCTGGAGGAACATTGTCCATACTTCGCAACTAAGACCAACAACTATCTAGAATAAAATGCCCATATTTTGCCCATAGTTGACCAGAAGAGGACTGAATGATCGACAACTCAAGAGGAAGATTTAAGAACCGTTGTTGCTCTGATATTTTGGAAAAGGACATCTTAAGGCCCATGTTGGAGGTAGAATTTTGCTTCAATCAAATCCTTTCTGAGCTGCCTTTTCATGACAAGATAAAAGAGCTAAAGGAATCTTGTTCGCTCCGTTAAACGTTAACACCGAAGCATCAAAAGACACCTGAAGCTTAAACAGCTTAAAATCCCAGCGCCTTTTCAAAAAAAAAAAAATCAAGACTTTGCCAACATGCTTTAAAATGCAGGATCAAATATTTTCTCACTGACACCAAAAAAAAAAAAACAACCTCAAATAAATCCGAAGAGCAACCAGGATGATGAGGGGACTGGAGGCTAAAACATACGAAGAACGGTTGCAGGAACTGGGCATGGTTAGCCTAGTGAAGACAAGGACCAGGGAGACAGGAGAGCATCTTCCAATATTTGAGGGGCTGCCACAGAGAGGAGGAAGGGGTCAAGCTATTTTCCAAAGCACCCAAAGGCCAGACAAGGAATAATGGATGGAAACTGGACGATTTGCACGTAGTTAACTTTAAAAAACAGAATCTTGAAAATGCCAGAGGAGGAGAACAATGGGGAACGTTAAAAATTCAGTCGTCGTCAACAACCCAACGCTGTGAATGACACTGTTGTGATAACAAAGGCTTCCTTTGATCCCTGGGGACGGTCTCCGGCACTTACGAGACCCAACAAAGCTGGACAGAACCGCAAGACAGAGCAGTGGAACATGGGATGGGGAGTGGAAAATCAGTAATGCAGAAAAGGATTGCCAGCAGACCTCACCTTGTCAAATATATTAATTTACTGGAAGGCTAGAATATTGGAGTGGTTGGATACCAAACAAGGAAAATATCCCACAACAAACGAGAAAGGAAGGAGAGAGGAGGAGAGGGTAAGAAGAGGAGAGGGAGAGAGAGAGGAATGGAAGAAAGGGGAAAGGAGAGGAAGGAGGGACAGGAGAAGGAGAGAAGGTGAGAAAGGGAGAAAAGTGGGGGAAAGGAAGGGGAACTTGGTGCTGAAAAGGTTCACCAACACTGCCCTAGTGCTTAGTTTTACATTACAGGTAATCCTCAGTTTGCAACCATTTGTTTAGTGACCGTTCCACGGATAAACGTGGTTTGTGACAGTTTTTCACACCTGGGACCGCTGCGGTGCCCCTTCCTCCCCACCCTATGGTTACGAGATCAAAATTCATTATATGCTGCTTCACAGTGCTTTTATACCCGACTTATTGCTAGTCCTTCCTTCCTTCCTTCCTTCCTTCCTTCCTTCCTTCTTTCCTTCCCTTCCTTCCTCAGTAAAACGAGGACCCAGATTATTGGGGGCAAGAGGCTGACTCTGTAAACCGCTTAGAGAGGGCTGTAAAAGCACTATGAAGCGGTATATAAGTCTAAGTGCTATTGCTCTTCCTCCTTCCTGCCTGCCTGCCTTCCTTCCTTCCTTGATAGCACAGTACTTAGAATGCAGTATTGCAGGCTAACTCTGCCAACTGGCAGCAGTTCGATCCTGACCGGCTCAAGGTTGACTCAGTCTTCCATCCTTCCAAGGTCGGTAAAGCACTGTGAAGCAGCATATAACTCTAAGTTCTATTGCTAGTCCTTCCTTCCTTCCTTCCTTCCTTCCTTCCTTCCTTCCTTCCTTCCTTCCTTTCCTTCCTTCCTTCCTTCCTTCCTTCCTTCCTTCCTCAGTAAAATGAGGACCCAGATTATTGGGGGCAAGAGGCTGACTCTGTAAACCGCTTAGAGAGGGCTGTAAGTCTATTGTTACTAAAATGAAATCAGGTCTCAATCTCTTCACCATGGTTGTGCCAGAAAAGGAGACGAGAGAAGACAGCAGACGTTGGTGAGATACCTCCGTGTCATGATAAACCTACCGACGTACTTAAAATGCAATTTAGTCAACAACAACAAGAAGAACACAGAAGATACATCCAATAGGTTATCGGCGGCTACGTCTATCGGAAATACGCGCCTTAACAAATGTCCATCTCGTAAAGAAAGACAAAAGGTATTGCGAACTTACCGGCCATTATCTCGACCGACTCCCCAAACTCGGATGCTAACGATGGGCTGAGAATGAAGAATGCTACGATCCATGGGGTCAACCAAATTGAGCATATCGTTCTCCAGGATGAGATACATGTCTTTTCCCTGAGTAAAAAAAAAAGGAGGTAGAGGACAGGAGAGAGGGAGGGAGGGGGAAGGAGGGAGAGAGAGAGAGAGGGAGAGAGAGAGGGAGAGAGAGGGAGAGAGGGAGGGAGAGAGAGAAGGAGGGAGAGAGAGAGGGAGAGGGAGGGAGAGAGGGTGGAAGAGAGGAGAGAGAGGGAGGAAGGGGGAGGGAGAGAGGAAAGGGGAGAGGGGGAAGGGGAGAGGGAGGAAAAAGGGAGAGAGAGAGGGAGAGGCAGGAGAGAGGGTGGAAGAGAGGGAGAGAGAGAGAGAAGGGGAGGGAGAGAGAGGAAAGGGGAGAGGGAGGGAAGGGGAGAGGGAGAGAGGGAGAGGAGGGAAGGCAGGGAGAGAGGGTGGAAGAGAGGGGAGGGAGAGAGAGGGAAGGGGAGAGGGAGAGAGAGAGGGAGAGGGAGGGAGAGGCAGGGAGAGAGGGTGGAAGAGAGGGAAGGAGGAAGGAGAGAGAGGGAAGGGGAGAGGGAGAGAGAGAGGGAGAGGGAGAGGGAGGGAGGGAGAAAGGAATATCAAAAAATATTCAGCACAAATCTTTTTCACCTTGCAACACTTATTTCAGAAAAAGAAGGCGGGCATAAGAAAAATATAACCACGGGGCCCTGGTTTGCTCTCCAAGCTTAGTGGTTTTCTGGCAGACGTTTCATGACCCAACTAGGGAACGTTATCAGTGCTAGAAGGGAGCAGGGTTCAGAGAGCAGCATCTAGTCCTGGTGATGCTGGGATGGGGAATTCTGGGAATTGAAGTCCACAAATTGCTAAGATTTAAGCTTAGTCCCCGGTGTAAATAAAAAGACGATCACAACTTTATGCGGAGTTCGAATCCCAGAATTCCCAGCCAGAACTACAGTAGCTGGGGAATTCTGGGAGTTGATGGACACCCATTTGGAAGTTTCCAGGCAGGAAACATTCCACTGAGGCTTTCCTAGAACTGTGAAGGCTCTCTGATGAAGTTCTCATCACCATCACGGATGACAAAAGCTAGAGTAAGAAGTTCCTGTCAGGGCTACAAACCGCAAAGGAGCCTTCCATCTCTCCATCCAAAATACAAATAGTCGTATCAAGATAGTAGGTGCGTTGTCTAAAAGATCTTCTCCCAGAGAAGGTTGGCGTGGCCCTTCAAAGAAGCGGGAAGACCCAAGTGGCCGGACAGAACGAAGGAAGGACTTCCGGATAAAATGGCGACGTTGCTTACCTCTCCCCAAATGCCGACGGTGTCTCTTATGTCGTTTTTGCAGTACGAGAGTTGCCGGATGCAGTTGTTCACCGCAACGCTGCTTTTTCCAGGCGCCAAATCTTCCTCCCCCATCTCTACCCATCCCAAGGAACGAACAGCGAAGCACTGCAAAGACAAAAGATCCCAGGAATAACGCTTCGGACCTTACGGATTTCCACCCAATTAGGTGAACGTTTTCATTTCCTTAGATAAAGAGTTCGGCCAGAGGGATAGTCCTCGTCTTATCGTCATCCATTTAGTGACTGTCTGAAATGACAACGGCCCTGATAAAAGCAACTTACAACCAGTGGTGGGATTCAAATAATTTAACAACCGGTTCTCTGCCCTATTCTGTCCCCATCCCACACGCACACACACCAACAGACGTCCAAGAGTTAAAAACCAAACCAGCCGACAAAATCCTTTTCCTTATGATAACTGAACTTGCCAACAACCTAGTGGCTGCCTGCCAAGAGTTTATTACTTACGAAGAGGAGAGATAACTTCTCCCCACTTCTGGTACATCAAAAGAAACAGCTCAATAGTTACAGAGTCAATCAAGTCCAAAGATAATCCAGCCTATAGCAAAAGTCCGGCAATGAAGAATGGTGTGGAAGCTTTCAGCTTTGTTCGTCACAAGGCTTGACTGGCCACCACACTCCCTTTTATACCCTGTGGGGTGTGGTCCAGTGACTCAGCCTAATCTCGGGCACGCCTTTTCTTCTGTTGTGCGCGCTTATCTCTGCGATGCTGGCGTGGTTCCAGCCAAGACTCATTACCCTCATCACTGTCCACCTGTGGCTGCGTGGACGTGCTTGGCCCCGGCCCTATCTCTTGCCCTTCGGCGGACACCGAAGGCATTGCCAGAGAGGAGGGTCCTGGAGAGGGAGGCCTTGCCAACTCCTCTCCTTCACTCTCGGAGTCCTCTCCTGCCGATGACACAGGCTCAGGTAACGGAGCCACAACATGCCCTAGTGACCTGGACATGGGTCAGTGGTGGATTGCTCCCGATTCGCACCGGTTCGCACGAACCGGTAGTAAAAATTTGTAGTAGTTCGGAGAACCGGTAATAACATTGGCTGGCCACGCCCCCAAATCAGTCCCCGGTCCGGTTGTAAAACAAGGGCTTTACACTTAGGCAAGAAAAACAAAATGCACAACTACAGTTTAGGTGAAATAGCAGTAACTGTGAGAGGGACCCTGGAGTCCTAGTGGACAATCCCTTCAATATGAGCCAGCCGTGTGCGACAGCAGACAAAAAAAAAGCTAATACGATCCTGGGTATTAGCGGATAAATTTATAGAGGGAATTTTAAAGAGAAAGATACAATCTCATTATGTATTGTATATATTAATAAGGGGGGAATTCTTAGGGGATGAAAATGGGGGGGGGGAGAAATGGAAAAGAAAATTATTAGAGTAAGATTAAGGGGAATAACTACAACTGTATTAATTGGAAAACTAATACGAAACAAATGCTTCAAAAGTTTAACTTACTTATACGTTGTTTGTTGTGTAAATGTTTTTATATGTGTTTTAATAAAGTTTATATTTTTAAAATTAAAAAAAAAAGATGTTGAGACTCTGGAAAGGGTGCCGAGAAGAGCAACTAAGAAGATTAAGGATCTGGAGGCTGAAACTCCAGATCTGCAGAAAAAACAATGGCTACCAACCTGCCTTCCATGGAGGACCTGTCTACTGCACGAGTCAAAAAGAGGGCTGGGAAAGTATCTACAGACCCCTCACATCCTGGACATAAACTGTTTAGACTCCTACCCTCAAAACGAGGCTATAGAGCACTGCACACCAGAACAACTAAACACAAGGACAGTTTTTTCCCCAACGCCATCACTCTGCTAAACAACTAATTCCCTCAACACTGTCAAACTAGATACTAAGTCTGCATTACTATTAATCTTCTCATCGTTCCCACCACCCACCTCCTCCCACTTATGACTGTATGACTGTAACCTTGTTGCTTGTATCCTTATGATTTATATTGATATTGCTTCCCTATGACTATCATTAAGTGTTGTACCTTATGATTCTTGACGAAGGTATCTTTTCTTTTATGTACACTGAGAGCCTATGCACCAAAGACAAATTCCTTGTGTGTCCAATCACACTTGGCCAA